CCAACACCGACCCCTGAGGAACTTTAGGTATGTTAAGTGTTTGGTTTTGGTTTGGGGTTTTTTTTTTAAATTTTTAAACCTTGAGATTTGTTTTAGTTGTGAAGCGTGTAACAGAATGTAGGCATTTACTCTACAGACATCCGTAAAAATAGCCTTACATTATATTTGTTTAAAAAAATCTTTATATTGCTTAAAATAATTATGAAAACCATACAGGAGCAAAATTATCCATCCCATATTCAGGAATACGGTGAGCAAGTAATCCACTTTTCCACTCCATCTTAGAAAGGAAGTTAGCAAACTAAAAAGTGCAGAGGGGGACACAGAGGAAGAGTATAGCCATGGAATGAGCATAGAGGAATAACTCGAATGACCACAGGTTTTAGCGAGGAGAGCTTATGTCTGAAGATATGTGATAGAACTTTGTAAACATAGAATCACAGAATGGTTTGGGTTGGAAGGGACCTTAAAGACCATCCAGTTCCAACCCCCCTGCCATGGGCAGGGACACCTTCCACTAGACCAGGTTGCTCAAAGCCTCATCCAGCCTGGCCTTGAACACTTCCAGGGATGGGGCATCCACAGCTTCTCTGGGCAACCTGTGCCAGTGCCTCACCACCCTCTCTGGGAAGAATTTTTTTGTGATCTGATCTAACCCTCCCCACTTTCAATTTAAACACACAACTTCATTTTCTTCTCAGTGCAATAAATGAGAGCATAAAATAATATATGTCTTGATATAATACCTAGCTGTAGCACTGATTATTGCAGAACATAGTGATTGATTGGATGTTTATGGGAGTACAGAAGTAGAGGGGTCATATTCACAGGGCAGGAGAGTAAGGGGAAAGTCCTCAAAGGCTATTAATTGCTAAGATATAAACTCTGGGTCAGGAAGTCCTTGAGTTGCAAAAATCCAGAATTTGAATGTTTCGGGGAAGTATCATTTATGTGCTTGCCTTGCTCTTAATAGTCTTTCCGAAACACCTCCTAATGGCTGCCTTCTGTTAGGAGAGCAAATGGCCATTCATCCTATGAAAAGGATTATTCATTCCTGCACAGGCAGGGTTTGGCCAGAAAATGTGCTGTGTCGGTAGCCTGTGTTGGCAACCTGGATGAGGACGGATACTGCAGTGACAATCTGTAGTAATGCCAGACATGTTCTACCTAGTTGAGAGGAGAAACATCAGTACTTTCACAGCTGCTGTTTTGGGTTGTTTTGCCTTTCCAGAGGGAAGAGGTTCAAATCTGGAGCTAGAGACTCTGAAAGTGATGTGACACAGTTTGTTTCCTGATAGATAAATAACTGTTTCTTTTTCTGCTGGCTACCAGGCACGGTTCACGCTCTGTTTCCTAATTAGGCGAGGAATATTATTAGACTTGACTTTACTTTTCATGCTGGTGATTACACTGAGCTTTTCTGCAGCTATCTTTTACAGTAGCTATTAGATGCTTTACAAGAGTGTGATGTCATTCCCCCCATTATACCCAGGGGAAAGCGAGGCAGGGCATCACAGGTCGCCCAGTAGACCAGTGCCAGTAAGAGCTGGCAGTGGAATTTCTTGTTCACGTGGCCAAACTATTGCAGGGTCGATAGAGGTGTCCGTGTGTGAGAATGATGGTCAGGTCTGGCTGTGTGGGAGCAACTGTATCTTAATGAGAGCGTGGTTTTATGGTTTTTTTTAAATGCTTCCAAAATACTTTATTAGCTTTATGATGATTTTTCAAGTGTTTATTTCACACAGGTAATCATAGATGACCAACTGCCCGTTGATCATAACGGGGAACTTCTCTGCTCTTATTCTAACAATAAGAATGAATTATGGGTATCGCTGATAGAAAAGGCTTACATGAAGGTTATGGGAGGATATGATTTTCCTGGATCAAATTCTGTAAGTACTAGATTATTTCTAAGAGGCAAAAATCCCTCTTAGATAATCTTGGATCAAATAATTTTCTTCCTAGGGAAACCAAAGTGAATTGCTTGGGGAGGCGAGTATTGGGTTTGATGTTTCCTTCCTTCTTTCGCAAACATACTTGGCTATGCTTAATGAGATTTATTCCATCAAAATAGAATGAGCAAGACATCTTGATGGGCAGAGCTAACAGTTCTCTGACTGCAGGATTGGCACTTTTGGTTGGAAGGATACGTGCTTATGTAGTCTAAATGGAAGTGTTGGGTGAAGTCATAAATCTTTTTTCCCATATCGCAGAATCATAGAATCACAGAATGGTTTGGGGTGGAAAGGACCTTAAAGACCATCTAGTTCCACCCCCCCTGCCATGGGCAGGGACACCTTCCACTAGACCAGGTTGCTCAGAGCCTCATCCAGCCTGGCCTTGGACACTTCCAGGGATGGGGCATCCACAGCTTCTCTGGGCAACCTGTTCCAGTGCCTCACCACCCTCTCTGGGAAGAACTTCTTCCTGATATCCAATCTAAACCTCTCCACTTTCAATTTAAACCCGTTACCCCTTGTCGCGTCACTACAGGCCCTGCTCAATACTCCTCATTTTAGTTTCTATCTGTGGTTCAATAAATAGGGCAGTTCTGCCTCATCAGGTGGGGGAGTCGGCTAGGAAAGGAGCAGGCTAGTCATTCAGTACGTGTATATAGAGGGAGCAGGTGCTTTGATCTGTGCAAGTTTGTTTATCAGATTGTTCCACTCCTTTCATAAATATGTATCAGATTCCTATGATGTGGTTCCTAAAGTAACAGCCGTCGGACTGCAGCTAAACTGACATGCAAATTATTCTCTCAGAAAGGGATGGTTTACTGAAATTACTCGTCTGCATAATCTTCATTTGTTACTTAGAAAGCATTTCTGGTTTTAACTTAAAATTCTTTAGAATCTTAACAGTATATTTTTTTTTTTATTTCACGGTGCTGTTTGCATTCCAGTTGGTGCCTTGCTAATCACATCCTTGGAGGGTGAACTAGGTCATGATCACCTTCTGAAAAATGGTGATGGAGACAAATGTGGCTTTGTAGAAGGGGCAAACGGAGCATCCGTTTCTGTGCATGCTTATGTCCTTGTTGGGCCGCTTTGTTTTGGAGAACAGAAGCTGGTGGGAACAGCTGTGTGTTATTCCCATTGTCATCCTCTAACTTGCCGTCCAGAAAAACGGCTTAACTTGTGACATTTAATCTCGCCCCCTCTGCTTTGGGCTGTACTGCAGCCTCCTCCTATAATCAGGGTTGCTCGCTGGCTGCGTTGGACTTGTAATCCCTCAAGTTCCCACCCACCAGCGCTGGTAACTGACACTTCAAGCACTGACAGCCTCTGCTTTTTGCTTTGAGGGGTGCAAAGCAAAAAGAAAAGGGAATAAGCGATATTTCAAGGAGATGAAATGGGGAGATTAAAGTGTCTTTTTATGGAAATACATGTCAGTGTGAGCTTTACCAAAAAGAATAAGAAAAAACAAGCCCTGAGCCTTAGATGTAAAACTTAAATTATCTGAAATGCATATATAATAGCAAGGTTCCACATGGTGCTTCTGAGGCTGTGCTTTGGAAGTCTGTCAGTCAGTGAAATAAATAGAACACATCATAGAACTGAGCACGATTGATCGTTCTCTTATGCTTCCATTGCTCTGAAATTCCAGTTTGTTTCATCAGTTCACTTTCCAGCGTGGTTGGTTGTTGTTTTTTTGGGGTTTTTTTTGAGAGGCTATTTGGAAATGTTGTCCTAAACTAACCAAGTTAGTTGTTTGGTTGTTTTTTTAATAGTCTTAATCTTGAGCCTTTTCTAAGTAGAACTATGTTGTAACATGAGTATACTTGACTTCTTTCAAGGCCCTTTGATAACTTGTGTGCAGACATCCATGTTTATAGACAGATTATCTCTTCTGATTTCTTTCAAATGCTTGCATTTCAGAACATCGATCTCCACGCACTGACTGGTTGGATACCTGAAAGGATTGCTATGCACTCTGACAATCAAGCTTTCAATAAAGATAGTACTTTCAGAATGCTTTACCAGAGGTAGAATTTGTTCTTTCCTAAGTAATTAAAATGCTTGCTGTGTAGTAGCTGTGTTGGCACTGCAGAACCAGTACAGTCACCACAGATCCTTCAACGGAATTTTGGTACTAGGACAAAGTGTGCTTTATAAAACCTCCATTTGCTTTCTGGAAGAAGAAAAATTGCAGTATTGGTGGCTTTGGTAGAATAGAAAAGTAAAACATTGTGGTATTTTGTTTGAGGTGATTTTTCTTCTTGACATTTGGAAGAAAATAAAAAAAGTAGCCTGTTTCTTTATGAAGAAAATAGACTATAGAGTCAGAGGAGAGCAGCTTGGAACCAACATACAAGTTTAAAGTGTTTAAAAAGTAGAAGGAAATGTGTTCGGTGTTCCCCAGAACTTTGGCATTGATCTGCTGTCCTTAGCAAATGGATATAATATGGCACTTCTCATGGTATCACAAGACCTAGGTCATTCTGCCTCATTAGTAAATCTCCTGGAGGAGCAGCAGAAGTGTATCAGAACTGTGGTGTTGATCTTCAGACCCACCATAACAATTCTGCTTGTGGGGAAAGATACAGCTGTAAATTATGGATGCCAGCTAGCAAGTCCTTTGTCTTTCAAAAGGGTTTTGCGCAACCAGTTTCTTGTGCAATTCAGTGTAGTAGAAGGGGGAGATGCTGTTGACTGCAACATCCGCATTCATAGGAGTGTGGTGACTCTCCCTCGAGTGTGTTTTCAGGAAGTTCAGAGCTGTCGGTTGCCAACAGCTTTTCGGGTATTCTGGCCTTGCAATTGGGAGGCGTGACTGCAATTGGGTGGGGATCCAGCTGTTACAGCATCATGGTTCTTCACCCTGTGCTAGGCTGAAAATGTGCTGATCCGTAGCCCAGTGACCCTGTAAACTGCCTGGGGATGCTGAGCACGTACTTGGATTTTAGCATGGCTGGGAAATGTAAATCCCTGTATTCCAGTTTTTATAAAGCAAGGTCACGTTAATGAGCAGTATAAAAACGTATTGTTACCGTGCCTGGGCCAAATGTTAGCTTGCAACTTGCAAAGTTTCAGTTAAACTATTTTTTGCCTCTTTATGAACAGATTTCACAAAGGAGATGTCCTTATCACAACAGCAACAGGGGTGATGTCTGAAGAGGAAGGAGAAAAATGGGGTTTAGTTCCAACTCATGCGTATGCAGTCTTGGATATAAGAGAATATAAGGTATGGTGTAAAACTGAAGATGTTTTCAGGTGCCTGTTTGAAATCTGTGTCTGTGATGGATAGCTACTGATATTTTTTTTTGCTCTGATGGCTTCTGAGGTTTATTTTCTCTTGAGCTCCACTGGGAAATTCCAGAAAACTTCCATGTTAATACAAATATAAAAATTACCTTGGCAAGATAGGTTATTTGGTAAATTACTGTTAGCAATTTTATTTTGTATTTATTTAGGGACTTCGATTTCTTCAGTTGAAAAATCCCTGGAGCCACTTACGTTGGAAGGGACGATACAGCGAAAATGACACAAGAAATTGGACCCCAGATTTACAAAAATACTTGAACTTTGATCCCAGAACGGCTCAGAAAATAGACAATGGTAATAAGGGTTAAAAAGTCACTATCTCTTCAGATAATGTAAGTTGTTTTTTTTGGTGGTGTATCCCTGCAGGAAGGCAGAAGGAAATGCTTAAGCACAAGGAGAAGTGGAGTAAAACAAATATTAGAAACCAAAAGTTTAGGTCGTATTTGTGTATTTCAAACTGTCATTTGAGGTTTGTCTGGGATTTAAGTCATCTGGACTGTTTAATACATCCCAAAATTCATTGACAAGAAGTTATCTCTTGGCTTAAGTGTTGCTCTCTCAGGACCTGGGGGCGGGGGACTTCAGCGCAAAGATAACATTCTGACAATAAGCTGCATAATGCTGCTTTTTAATGTGAATGGCATTTTTGTGAGGGTTTTTCCTCCAACGTTTGCAAGTACATAACGACGTGCCTAGTGCCATTGGTATCTAAATTTGCCTTGCCTGTGTTTGAGGCTGTGCGCTGCAGGTAAGGGTGTTGGTTTCTTTTCCTTTGCATTACGTGAATAGGTCTGTAAACAAATCTTGATTATACACTTAGTTTCCAGCTGTAAGAGTAGATTGAGATCTGTCTTTGAGATGGTGGCGCGGCCACATCACTGTCCAGAGAAACCACTTGGAATGCTGCCCAGTGTTGTCCTGTCCCATCTTCCCTAGGGATCAGCAGAGTGTGGCACCTGGAAAGCTGCTGTGGGTGTGCTGGTGGAAGGGCAGGCTGCTGACAGCGTAGAAATTGTGCACAAGCTGCGCTTTACATCGGAAAGAGATGTCTGCTTGTCTTAGTGTCCTAGCTACTGTTTGTTAATCTCTGTGAGGGAGCCCTTTTGTTCAGTGCCACTTCATTCTGACAGCAGTGTGCACCTGACGTAACGAGGCCTGAACCACAGGCCTCGAACCAAAGTTGACTTCTGAACGAACCTAGAAGTTGACTTCTGGGTGAATCCCCTGACCAACATCATATCAGCATGACACATAACTATGGGAATATCCGCTGAAACCTATAAATAAGGAACATATCTTTTTGGACCCTAAACTTAGACAAACAGGAACTCCTTGGACGCGCCCGGGATCCTGGCCAGATCTGGGACGTGCCCAAGTGAAGTGAAGCCAATCTTCCAGATGTTTCCGTGCCTTTTTAAATATGACTTGTTGGACTGTATAAAAGCAGGACCCTCTCACAGTGACAATGGAGCCTCACCTACGAGTGGACGCGTAGGACTTCCCAGTTGCCGGGAGAGGTTCTCTAGTCCTTCGCTGTGACGGGGCTCCCCAGCTGATGCACGGATCTGAATGATGGGAAAGTATTAGGGCAATAGGTGATGTATCTTTCTTCATCACTATCGCTACCTTTAGTGACAATCAGGTGCGTTACCTTGCTTATGCTTTCTGTTGCTGTAAAGTGAAATAAGCTTATGTTTTTAGCTTGGTGTCTGTCCTTTCTGCTGACCCCATCAGCTGGCAAAACAGCGCCCAAACCCACAAAATCATAGCATTAAATCATACCATTTAATGATGAGCCTCATGCAGATGTGTAAGAACCTTTTGAGTTAAGTGTAAGAATAGCAGCCCTGGCTTTGTGATGGTTATACGAGATTAGCTCATTATTTATTTACAGATTCGTTCAGTGAAGAATTTATATCTGTGACATCTACTCTAAAATTTATATAAAATTACGTTAATAAATTTAAGGGAGTTGTTTCTTCTGACTGGATTTACATTCTACTCTTGCCTAAACGTGTAGCTGTTCTGACTGCTTTTTGTTTTTAGTGCTGCAAGATGTGCAATGGCCTCTGTCAGAGCCTTGAATGATAAGGCTGTTGTTACCTTTTGAGAGTTTGTTTCATCAGGAATCTGTCAGCTTGCAGCCATTCTTGTTGGCTGGAGTCATGCTTAAGGGAGTTATGGAGAATTAGAATAAATGCTTGAGAATTTTGTGAAGATGAAGCAGATTCAGGGCTCTAAAGCAAGTCACGGGGATGCTGCATGAACTGCCTTAGAAATCCATTCACGCGTACTCGTTGGTTGAATACTTGGTTGTGCTGGATGACTGCTGAAGGAGGTTGTTGAATTGGGGAAACCTGTTTGAATATGTACATTTTGGGGTAGGTTTTTTTTTTTTGGTTGGTTTGGTTTTTTTTTCAGAAACCCAGGGAAGGGGAAGGCAGGTCAATTAATTAATGGTGTCTCTTTTAATACAACAGACTCTCCATGTCTTCTGCTTAGTGCTTGAGGATGAAAAGCATTCTGACAGCTTCAGAAAGTCCGTGATGATCAGGAAAGACTAGCTTGTTTTTCTTGGTTTAACTTGTTTGTTTTGGGGGTTAGGTTTAAATTCATAAATTTGGGCAATGCAGATATTACTACTGGGTTTTACAGGAATGTGGGTTTACATAAGCTAGATCACTTGCCTGGAAAAACGAGTAAAATCAAGGTGTCTGGTAAGGGAGCAATAACAGCATTTCCTTTTTAGGCATTTTCTGGATTGCCTGGGAGGACCTGTGCCAGTACTACGATGTGATTTATTTGAGTTGGAACCCAAGTCTTTTTAAAGAATCTACGTGTATTCACAGGTTGGTCTGAGAAACAAAACCTTTGCATCAGTATCTGACTAAATTCTAGTTCCAATGCGGTGTTCCCTTCTTCCATTCTTCCTAGTCGCAGCTGAAGAGGTTGGACTCCAACCACACTCCCTGGGGCCTGACTTTACACTTTTAAATTCTAAGGCTTTTGGGTTTGGCTCCTTCTGTAGCATCGTTGAAACTCCAGCGACCTTTTCCACGATGCTGTGGACCTAAGGTTGCGTAACCGCCTTCTGACCTCAGTCCCGCATCTGTTGGAACAGAAATCGGATTTTTGTGCTGTGTTTGGTTTAAGCGGTCACCAGACGGTGCTGAGTGACCTAGCTTTCCTTTGGAATTCATTTTCCTGGGCAGTTGCCAGTTATTTTCACAAAAATTGGCTAGCCTGAGCTCCCTGAAGGGCTCAGCTTTGTCTGAGCTGTGTAACTGCTGTCGCAGGCACCTGCAGAAAGTGGCCCTTCAGTGGCTGTTACCGATGGCGGATACCTCCTGACCGATGTGGGCCTTGGAGTTCGTTTTCAAAGCACAAATTAGCGTGTTGCTCATCTAATAACATGCCTGTATTGCTTTCAGTACGTGGGATGCGAAGCAGGGTCCGGTGAAGGATGCCTACAGCCTGGCTAACAACCCCCAGTACAAGCTCGAGGTCCAGTGTCCGCAGGGTGGAGCTGCCGTCTGGGTTCTGCTTAGCAGGCACATCACAGATAAGGTGCCGCCTTCCTTTTTGGGTGTTTTCTGTATTATGAGTTCCAGAACCTCTGTTGTAAATCTTTTTATATAGTTTTCTATGTAATTGGTATATTACCGCTTATATTTTCACGTTCAAGTATCGACACCCATGTATAAATATTTTAATCCGTCAGGTACGCATAACTGTACATGAGGTTGTTGAAATAGACCCAGAGTAAAAATTGAGTGAGGTGATTATGTTCTTCACCATAAAGGTGATAAAGTAATTCTGAGCTGTTACAAGTGAAACTAGTGGCAGTTTGTCTGTTTCAGGTATTTTTTAAGAATAATTGGATCAGGTACCTTAGTAAATACAAATACCAGATCATACCATGTGGTGATCAGAGGCGGGGGATAGAATGTGTACTTGATTCTGCTGAAGCACAGTCCTATCAGTTACACTCCACAGAAGTGTCCAACTCTACTTCTTTTGCGTTTTTTGTAGGATGACTTTGCACACAATCGGGAATTCATTACGATGGTTGTATACAAGACTGATGGCAAAAAAGTTTACTATCCAGGTTAGTGCGCCTTAATTGTCAAGGTGATGACATTGGAAATCCATGAAGACTTCCAAAGGGTTTTGGGGAGAGGAAAGGCAGTGTTGGCTTTAAAACTGGATGCCTCACTCTGAGGTCAGCCTCCGAAAACAGTTATTTAGCCCTGTTAGACCGCCTTCCGCAGTCTCGCTGAAGGGGTAAGCGTCGCGCGCCGTACGTGTTGGAAGCGTGCTAGGAGTGCTCCATAGGCCTGCTGTCATGTAACTCGGCACGGTGTTTTCTCTGTCGTTCTGTTTGTTTTGCTGTAGCGGTGGTTAATGCATAGAGGGAACAGATGTGATGCTTCTGTTTATCTGAGAGCGTAATTGTTTCCCACATTTGTGAAACGATTGAAAGTTTTACAGCTTCCCCTAAATGAACATAATCAAGGCTAATTTTTCAATGCATTTTGCTTAGCAAGGTCTTGAGATACTTTGAAGCATGTTTTTCTGCTGTATGACATATGGAAAGTTTAAGAAAATTATGCAGATGTTCAGAGTAGAACTCCTGGTCATTATTGGTCAGGTTCTACTCTCCCTGAAAGGAAGGGGCTTGGCTTTCAGGGCTTCACTGTAGCTGCGAAAAAGCCACGTGCGTGTCTTAGTTCCAGAGAGAATGGACCTGAAACACAGGTGGGAGAGTGGAAGTAAAGGCTGAAAGGGTAGGGTGGACCACAACCCACCCAAGAGGAGGCCACGAAGATGCTCAGAGGGCTGGAGCCCCTCTGCTCTGGGGACAGGCTGAGAGGGTTAGGCTTGTTCAGCCTGGAGAAGAGAAGGCTCCGGGGAGACCTTATAGCACCTTCCAGTGCCTGAAGGGGCTACAAGGAAGCTGGGGGGGGCTTTTTACAAGGGCCTGTAGTGACAGGACAAGGGGTAATGGGGTTAAATTGAAAGTGGGGAGGTTTAGATTGGATATCAGGAAGAAGTTCTTCCTGGAGAGGGGGGCGAGGCACTGGCACAGGTTGCCCAGAGAAGCTGGGGATGCCCCATCCCTGGAAGTGTTCAAGGCCAGGCTGGATGAGGCTTTGAGCAACCTGGTCTAGTGGAAGGTGTCCCTGCCCATGGCAGGGGGGTTGGAACTAGGTGATCTTTAATGTCCCTTCCAACCCAAACGATTCTATGATTTAAGGGAGAGCTACTAATGTCGTATTTTTGTTTATTCTTTTCATCGAGTTAGAGATCTCGGTGTAAAAACATTCCTTGGAAGAATTCAGTGAAGGAGCACCTTAGGACAGGTAGGACTTGGCCTGTTGCTGTCACAGATAGGGGAACCTCTTCAGAACCAGGGTTGCATTCAGGTAGCTGCTCATGCAGCAGGTAATAGCAACAGTTAATTAGAGCAGCTTTTAAAGCTCTTTTCAACAGGGCGTGACATTTATGTGTGGGTTTTGTTGGTTTTTTTTTCCTATTGGAATGGCTGCTAAGGGTTGCATGGGTCATCCCTGGTCTTGTTCAGTGAACTCCACCAACCAGTTCCTTAGAATCCAAGCTGTCTCTGCGGAAAGCATCTGTTGAGACACGACCGAATTGTCATCTGTTGTTGCGAGAGCCAATCTTGTTAAAGCATCTGCTTCTCTGTCCAGCCCAGGACTGCTTCTGGTGTTTCTAGCAGTGCTTGTTCTACGCCTGTGTCTTGCTGAAAACATTAAGTGGGCAAAGCAAACATGTTTGATAGCGGAGGGGATCGTTTGCATGTCCTTGGAAGAGAGAGTCTTCCAGCAAGACCACTAGTGAGAACCGGATGATTCGTATGTCTTGTCTCGCTACCAAACCTTTTATAAACTTTAATCTCATGAGCTCAAACTCATTTAAAACCTTTTTCCATGGAAATAGATTGGTCAAGCTGCAGTATTATTTTTACCATCTGTTAAAATAAGATCAGTACAAAGCAGGTTAATCCTTCGGCAGTGAGGCTGGGATTTCCCATTCCTAAGCTTCTCGTTGTTTTATATTAATCCTTTCCCCTTTCACATGTTGCTTTGTGGCAGAAAATAAAAGGACCTGATCCTGGGCTTATTTAAGTGATTGGCTAGACTTGTCCCTTTTTCACTGTAATTAAAGGAAGTCTGGAAAGAACCCATTAGAGGCCAGATAACAAATGACATTGTCTAACTGTCAAAGCAAATATTTGGGATGTTTATAAGTGCCAGGGTGCAACTACATCTGTGTACACTAGAATTTGGAGAGAGTGACAAAGTGTATAAATTAGTTAAAGAAATTACCATGTTTTAGAGTCTTGTTTACCCAGTGGCCAAAGATTCTGGCAGCTTGCATTCTGTCCAGGCAGTGGAGAAAGAGCAGACTCCTCAGAATTTTGGAGAGTGCTCCCACAGTCCTTGTCTTTCTCTTCAGGTTTCGGCATGATCACAGTAGGTCTCCTTTGAACAGTGACATTGGTGGGAGGTGCATAAAAGCAGTACTTGGGAGCCATGGGATTTAAGCTGTACTTGCCAGTGCAGAATTTGTGTCTGGTCGTGTGTGATGTACCTCTCCTGAAAATAATAGTTGCTCTTAAGATGATCTGTCCTTTTCATGAGCAAATCTGGAGGCTCTGGACTTTTGAGAGCTTCCAGCCTAACCTTAGTTCCAACAGTCTGACTTTCCTGGCAGAACTGACTGACACAAAACCGCTGTTCACCGAGCTGGGAGCAAAGTGTTCACCCTGTTCTTTTTCAGCTGACCCTCCTCCGTATATCGACGGTATCCGGATCAACAGTCCCCATTACCTGACCAAGATAAAGCTGACCTCTCCAGGGCCCCATACCTTTACCTTAGTGGTGTCCCAGTACGAGAAACAGAACACCATCCATTACACCATCAGGGTATGTAGCGCTGATTCTGTAACGAGGGTAAAGAGTTACGCTGGGAAGTGTCCTTCATTTGCAAGGCTGATAATCAAACATACGTCTGGATGGATGTTGTTATTTTGGGGGGGAAGGCGAGGAAAGATGGAGGAGAACCACGGGATTAAGCACTCAATTATGTTCTCCATTGTAATTAAGACAATATGGTGTGTTTTGGTTAGTAGACACTTTAGTCATTTAGCCAGCTGAAAAGTACTTTTATTTCCTAGACTAAAAAATTATCTGTGTACAGGCAGAGAAGAATGCTAGATGTCTCTCTTTGTCACTGCAGAAGTAACATGCAGATTGTTTTAATTGTTCTTTTTCTCATAAAAATGAAGTAGAAGCAAATCTGGTTAGTCCCAGCACTGTTCTGGATTTTGGGTTTCAGGCGGGGTGGTGTGATGTGTAATACAGGTGGTTAACAAGTACCTAAAAACGATGTGCAGGCAATTCTGCTGCTTTTAACATGTCATGATCATCTGAAGAGTGTGGGGCAGATGCATGACCAGCTGCTTCTTTTATACCACAGGTGTATTCCTTGTGCAAGTTCACCTTCTCCAAGATTCCTACACCTTACACCACTTCCAAACGGGTAAAGAAATATTTTCTTTTACGGGTCGGTGGGTCATAATTCTGGTTTGGCTTTGCCGTATTTGAGATGTACAAGGTCTTTAAAGATATTTTGATATTACAGCTCAAAAATGCCATCTTATGCCATTTTCTAAGAAAGGAAACTTCTTCACTAAAGCTTAATCTAAGTGTGAGTAGCACAAGGCCAATCCTGTACTCAGGTTACACATAATGAGCCAAAGGCTTAGCTGCCCTGTTAGCCTGATTCGTACCAACCTTGTAAAGCCTATGTAGAGTAGGCTGGCCTTTAGCATAAGAACCTGCACCCTACTAGGTAATTACCCTGCAGAGGTCAGACTGTGTCAGTACTACTGCAGAGTAAGAACCCTGCAAGCTGCTCACTTTCCCTTGACAGAACAGCTTGATTTTTCTTGGGAAGAACCCTTGGCAGGATGGGAAGAAATGAGCAATAGCAAACCAAAGGCACCAGTGGCAAGACTGTGACAAATGGACTTAGGGTGGCAGTGTCACCGAATGTTGTTGTCCCTACGTCTTGCTGCGACCTCTCAAAGGTCTGTAGTCACTGGGATGAGCACTCGCACTGCCAAACAGGATCAGGGCAGTATACCCACGCTGCCTTTTATGTAGGAACGCTCCCTGAGAGTACAGCAGCAGGGGCAAGAGCAAAAAACTTGACTGAAATTAAGTCAGGAGCCCAGGCAGTTTTGGGACCAGCTGCTGTTCATCATATTTCAGCTGTCACTGTGAGCTGCAGCTATACCTCCTGCTGCAGCAGAAATACAGGACGCTGGAACTCGCATATATTGCCATGCACTGGCAATTTTATCCCCCAGAAAGGATCAGCCTGTAGTTGTTAACTTTCTAATCTCTGTACCTACCATGATACACCAAGGAATCCTACTGCAGGCAGAAATGTTCTGTCCAAGCAGTAACCTCTTCAGGAGGAGAGAAGCAAGGCTAGATTGAGCCGCAGCGCAACAGCCCCTTTTCTAGGACACTCGTGCCCGAAGCCAAGGATCGCATTCTTTGTGCGGCTGGGGGGGCTGTGCTGGCGTGCCGCTAGGCTCCGGAGTCCAGCGTTCCGTACCAGCTGCTGTTTCCACACGAGCTCCCTGAAGCAAGTCTGTTCTGGAGGGCAGCAAGTGGCTTCAGAGATTCCTGGGTACAGCGAGACGACATGCTTGGTGCTTCCAGAAACCACTGTCACTTGGTGCCCTTGGGCTTGCTCTGGGGGAATGCTTTAAGGGGTCAAGAACTTTGCAGGTGACCAGCCTGTTTGAGACAGGGCACCTGTTTTATGTCATGTTAGGTTTCAGAGGAAAATTAACCACGTAGAAACGTGTCAATTGTCTGAAGATGTCTGCCTAGTATTCACATGAAAGGCGTGCTCTGTCTGTCCAAGGCTGGCTCCGTCTTTCTGATCAGGCAGATAACCAATTGCCAGTTTACCGCTAAAGCAGCTTCTGTGAGATGCCTCATACTGAACCTGAGCGGTCACCTCTGGAGCTCGCCAGGCCCACAGGGCATTCCTGGAACCGAACCATGTGGAGGTGGGAAAAGGCCTGGAAAGCAAACAGCAGGCGGCAGGTTTGGGCTCCTGGGTAGTAGCATGTGGGGACGAGGGGGAGGAGAAATTGTGCTTCCCAACTTGCCACGTTTGAGGGTTTCGGACACGAAGTAAAGAAATTAAATCAGAGGAAAAAAACGTTGCTCCTTGCTGGTTGGAGAGAAGGAGGGGAGGGAGGCAACACAGGAGGACTGGATCGCAGCTATGGATTTGTGTGAATGCCTGGCGTGTCTTAAAAGTCTCACCCTTCGGTTTAATGACTAGCAGGGGGAGCTGGCAAACAGATGGCCCGTTTCTCAGACTCTGAGCAGCGTTTTTCCTCTTGTACATCCTTTATCCTTATGGATGTCTTGTCCCTCTAATGCCAGCTCTAAGAGCGCAGAGGTGAACGGAGGGTGCCGGAGGCTGCCCTTTCGAAAGGAAAGGTTACTACACAGGTAGCGTGCGCTTCCTGTACTACTGCCGCTTCTCATTTAGCACAACACAGGAGTCTTTGAGCAAAAAAAATACAACTTTTGTGGTCCAGCAGCCGTGGGAGAGATGGGAATATAGATCCTTCTTTAGATGCAGTTTGTCAGAAACAGCTACTCCATGCTTACTTCTCAAATACAACCTGCAAACTACGGTACGCTTGTACGGGCTCTAAGGCTTTGACTGAGGTGGGTGGAGGACTGTAGTGACACTTTCTGAATACTGAAGTCTTTCACTTGCACTTTAAAAATTAGGAGAGATCGCTTGGGTCAAAGCGAGAGGAGCCTCTAGTCTTGTTTGTGTGTATAAATGAGCAATGCAAATCCAGAGTCACAGAGTGGTTGGGGTTGGAAGGGGCTTGTAGAGATCATCTAGTCCTTTTCACTTCTTTCAGGTTAATGGACAATGGAAAGGTCACAGCGCTGGAGGATGTGGAAATTTCCGAGACACCTACAGAAACAACCCCATTTATCAGTTCCAGCTGGAGAAGAATGGGCCGTTACTGATTGAGCTACGGGGACCGAGGTGTGTAGAGAGTAAGCATGCATCAAGAGTATTACGTGCTAAAGATAAACCTTTTGCTGTGTCCTCCGTGGGGAGGGTGGGAAGGTCCCTGGAAATCCAGCAGACAGGGTATGGAAGGTGGCTCAGGCTTAGTACTGTTTGTTTCTGACTTCACCCTCAGTGGTGATTTAAACCTGCACTTTGCTACTGAGGAAATCCTTGACTTACAAGGGAAGCAGGAGCCTTCTTTCTCTTTAGTTACGGGGTCTGAGCGGAGTTAGGCCTTGCACAGAAGGGTAGAAGGTACAAAGGACTACTTCTTCCTGAAACTTAATTACAGTCACAATTCCTTTTCTTCTGTGGTAGAGCTAAGGTGGGGGACATGAAGCCCTAACGGCCCACGCGGTACCTTCGGCTCTGAAAGTGCGTTTACGCTGCCACTAGCAGGCCAGGGGAAGTGCTGGATGTCAGCGCCCTGCAGAGCAGACCCACGCAGGTCCAACGCCTCGGGCGAAAGTCATGACCTGCCTCAAATCAGCAGCATCCCCAAGCACTTATCTTCTGCCAGGCTGTACAGCGCGCCCCGAAAACTGGCAGCGCTTTATCCATCCTCCCCTCTTGGAGGAAAACTCCTCCTCTCAAGGAATGGAGATGAGTGCAGGGGTGTGGCTCTGCTGTTGCACCAACTGAGCGGGTTTTTTTTGTAGGCAGGTGTTCTGTGCGCTTTGGGCCGTTTGAATGACAGGGGCAGCGGTGCCCACCGCCTGCGTTGACGGGTATGGGACAAACCATCCCAAGTCACAAGGCCACGTGAGAAATTCTGCTGAGATCGGTGGCAGCGATGGCTCCGACAGCCACCCGATGGCCGCCCGGGCTCTGTGCCATGTGGCACCCGAGTGTTGTGAGGCTGAAGGCAGAGGCAGGCTGCTTGTAGGTGTTTTTCATAGTCTAGTTCTGGACCCAGAATGTGCTCCGTCTTCCTCCAACTCCTACCTTTGTGTCGCGGTAGCTGCGCCTTAACCTGTCTGGCCCAAGCGGGCCAAAGCTGTGGGATGCCTTCCAGCCGTAGCGTGCAGTTGTTAATAACGCACCCCGTGCGGTAATCCCGACGAGCCAAAGCACCGCGCCAACAGCCTGTCGTGTCGCTTGCAGGCAATACAGCGTTGGGTTTGAACTCGTCACCGTCTCGACGGTAGGAGATCCTGGTCCCTCCGGCTTTCAGAAGAAGAGCAGCGGCGACTACAGGTACTGCTCGCTTGATGAAACCCTCGAGGTGCGAAATGTACTGTGGGTCGTAGTTCTAACGGGCAGTTTCTTCCGTCATAGGTGTGGATTTTGCTACTTGGAAGTGGAGAACCTCTTTGCTGGAGTTTACAACATCATCCCCACCACATTCCTGCCTCAGCAAGAGGGTCCTTTTTTCTTAGACTTTAACAGCACTGCTCCTCTCAAGGTGTCGCAGCTGCAGTGAGGAGACGCACCCTCCTGTCGCTGCTGAAGGAGGTGCCCTCCGCCGGCCCTGCAGTCTGAGAACGGGTAACAACCTCTGTCTGCGCCCAAGGCAGTTGCGCTGTAAGTCAGAGCCATCCGCGTGGGCTGGCTGCCGGGGCCGTGCGGTGCGGCGAGCTGCGGGGTTTGCCGCTGCGGCAGCGGGGGGAGCGCTGTTCCAGCCGGTTTGCCGACGGGCTGAAGGGCCTGCGGTCACACAGACTGGCAGAAGCTATTTATTGCTGTTTTTCCAGCCTTCAAATCAGATTCTAGTGAGGTAAGAGAGGAACTGAGATTGAAATCCTCTTCTCCCACAGCACAGGGTATATGGGTTTAAGAGTTTATTCTTAAAAGTAAACATGTAAGAAAAAAAAAACAACCTCTTGTGTGTTCTGCTTATTCACTCTCAGGACCAAGTGGCTTTTGCTACGTGTCTGTGCTGCTGTCTTGGATGTTTTCAGCACAGAGTGTGTAAGTTCTTGCATCTAAATGTGCATTTACTACTGCTGAGCGTGTAGTATTCCCGACTAACGCTTTCAGTGTCTCGGGAGTAAAGGAAAAGGAAGATTCTGCTGTAGCTGTTTCTGAGGGAAAAACCACGGCTTCATGGGTGTTACACGCACATGCTGGGAGCTGTTGTTTCACACCTGTATCGCTTCGGTGCGTGACGGCGCAGCCCAGGGCGCTGGGTGGCCTTCTCCCCGCCTGCTGCGAGGCTCGGCAGCGGGATGGGGGGTTGGCCCGTGCTGGCGTGGAAGCTTTTCAGCCCAAGTTCCCGCGGGGCAGGAGCCTCCCTCAAGCCAAGTCGGCTCGCTTGCCGGTGCGAGGAGGGAGGGAACCACCTACCGCCAGCCTCCCAGCCACAAAGTCATTGATCCTCAGCATTTTCCCGAGGGGAGGGATGGTTTGAACCTCTCCCTAATCAAACCAAGAAAGGCATTTGCTGCTCCTGTTACAGGACAGCTTTTCAGAGGTGCCAGCGAGGGAGTTGAACACTTGGCCAGTGTCAACAGGAGTGGGGTCAAGTGCTTCTGAAAAGAGTGGGAGTGGGATTAGTCCAAATGGAAATTTTTAGAAGTCTGTGCTCTTACCCCAGATGTAGGTACACTGTATCTGAAGAGGACTAGACATAATGCTTCAATTAACCAAGCTTTTTTCTCTAAAACTCCCTTGCTTATCCTAAAATGGATTGGATGGAATCCTTTTGCAAATGGATGACTTAAACCCCCACCCTATGGTGCAGCAGGGGGACAGGGTGGTTTTAAAACAGCCCTAGGAAGGGCTGTGCCATTCAGGATGGTTTGACAGCTTTCCAAGCAAAAAGGTGGCATTTAAATCTCCCTTGGTCATTGGGAAACTGAGCTCACATGCCCCAGGATTACCAGGTGTGTGTTACCTGTGGAATTAACCAGGAATAGTAACAGGCTGCTGGTCTGTGCGCTTCCCTCCTCAGAGCGGGCAGAGAGCTCAGGTGGAGTCTTTGAAAGGAAATACAAAATATTCTTGGGAAAAAGAAGTCTGCAAAGTAATTTTACAACAAAGTTTTCTGGCTCTTAGAAAGAAAAAATTCATGGAAGCACTTCAGCCTTAGTTTGATATTTTCTTGTCAAAAACATAATTCCGGTACCTGAAGGGGCTACAAGGAAGCTGGGGGGGGACTTTTTACAAGGGCCTGTAGTGACAGGACAAGGGGTAACGGGTTTCAATTGAAAGTGGGGAGGTTTAGATTGGATATCAGGAAGAAGTTCTTCCCGGAGAGGGTGGTGAGGCACTGGCACAGGTTGCCCAGAGAAGCTGTGGATGCCCCATCCCTGGAAGTGTTCAAGGCCAGGCTGGATGAGGCTTGGAGCAACCTGGTCTAGTGGAAGGTGTCCCTGCCCATGGCAGGGGGGTTGGAACTGGATGGTCTGTAAGGTCCCTTCCAACCCAAACCATTCAGTGATTCTGACTGAGGCTCAGTGACTGAGCCTGCTGCAGGAGACTGGGTTCTTGGCACTGGAGACAGACTTAGTTTGCACACGCGAAAGGTGGAAAACAGAAACGTTTACTGTAGTGTGGAGAACTTTACATTGACTTTGAGAATAGATACACAAGCCGTGGCAGGGACAAAATACAAGAGGACTGCAAAACCAGAGAATAGAAAATACTCTGGGCAATACTAAAATTCCCATCAAATGAACAATAAGAAACCGACATCCTGGATAAAATGGTGCTTTCGAAAAACGCTTAGCCACCAAAACCAAAGAGTCCTAGGATTTTTACTACCACTTATTAGCATAATTACCAGACACTACTACTGCCTAACAGCTGCTGGCAAAACATGCCCCTGCCCTTTTTTACTGAACACTTTCCCTAGGGCATCCTAAAATCCCAAGTCCCTTTAACAGTTACAAACCCCCACACAGGACAACCTACAGAGAAGCTTAAGAACACACTGTCAATCTACACTGGCGATTCCTTTTCTTCATGCATATTTCAAGGGCAAATCCCTTATCGTAACTGTCCCCAAAAACATCTACGGTTCCCGTTTTGGGGGAGAAAAAGAAAACCCCCAAAAAACCACCCCCTACACTTAAAGTGCTGAAAAACAATCCTTCACTTCTCAGGGGAGGGGAAGGGCAAAGGGCCAATCAACTCTTTTGGTCACTGGGATTGCCCTCAGAGCGCAAGGTGGAGTCGGGAAGGTGGCTAGGAAGGGCCTTCCGCCACCGAGCGTTGCCATCCCCTGTCTGTCTGTCCATCTCTCAGCACCAGTTTTTGTAGGCATGACACGTCTTCACCCTTCCTGTGAGCACCGAGGGAAGGGCAAAGGCTGGGAGACCCCCCACACGCAACAGCCTCCCCGTATCCAACGCGCCTACGGTTTCAGCGTGACGCAGACAGACGGGGATGTTTAAAGCAAACGCCGCTGACACTCGAGAGATCCACCGGCTCGAAAGAGCGCTCCGTTCTACAAAACCGAAGCCAAACCCCGAAGCCAAACCACGTTCTGCAAACATCTGGCCCGAAGTTCGGGCCCCGTGTTGGGGGTGTCACCAGTTATTGCTTCAGCCAGGCTGCTGCAAAACAACGTACAGAGTCCGTGAGACACGAGCGCGGCTTAAACGTCAGGTAACTCGTCCGGCCTACAACGGGTTTACTGAATAAGAACTTCATCCCTCCACACCCATTAGACGACTCAGTGCAGTTTTAAACGCTTAAGATCAGCGGGTATTATTGGCACAATGTTCTTCAAACACTTAGTAGTCCGTGGATAAATATTTATACTCCCACAGAGGGCAGGAGGAGGACTCAGCCAATCTGGGCAGCTTTTCTGCCTGCGCCCGTTCCCTCCTTGATTTTCATGCCCCGGAGGGAGAGCTGCTTCACGCGGTTCTCCAAAGCCAGCCCCTCAGCGGAGCTGCTCCTGTTGCTGCTCCTATTCTTGCTGGCTCTGTCGCTTGGCTTGTTCTCAGCCCCTTCTGCCCTATCCCCTGCAAAGAAAGGATCAGACTAGATGTTAAACCCGGGGTTCATTCCGCAACCGAGGCTTCAAGCGGGTGCCTCCGCAGCTTCCTTGGCCAAAGCGCGTGAAAAGCGCCGCGGGAGCGGAAGCAAGAGGCTTGAACGAAGCCGGGGTCGGCCTCCCGAGCCGACTGCGCACCGCGTCAGCACATCACAGTGTGGGCAGCCTTAGGTTGGAGCACACGGGAGCGGTGGTGATCCTCTAGTCTGAATTTGTCAGCAGGGGCTGGCACAGCCTGCAAGAGGTTCCTTTTGGCACGTTATTTTTCTTTTTTTCCCCCCTGGAAAGCAGGATTTTCAGCAAGCAGGACAGCAATTTTAAAAAAAAAAAAAGAAATTAAACTCAGGTTTTCCTGAAAATAAAGGTACCCTCGGTCTCCCACCGACGGCTTATCTTGTGAGACACCTCTGAGCCCTCCACCGAGACAGAACCGGGGAACCTTCCCAGCCAGGAGAGCAATTAAAACATTTTAGATGTCAGTGTTAGGCGCGGGCCTTCGAGGACGGCCTTCCCCAAGGAAGCGGCCAGCGGGTCAGGGCTCTGCCAGCTGGCAGCAGGCCTAAGGGAGCTGAGAAGGTTTTCCTGCTCCCTTTATAAAGCTGAAAAACATGGGCCCAGGGCGTATCCAGCCGTGCGTACCTCTTTCGGCTTCGCACTCCGGGGAGGAAGCCCCGCTGCATTCACTTCGGGGGCCGAGGACAGGGAAGACCATCCCGAACTCCGAGAGGGATACGGGGCTGGGCAGATCCAGCCTTCCAGGTCGTGTGGTGGGAGGAAACGGAGTGGGCACCTCACAGGGACTCGTAGGACCAGAGCTGAAGCTGGACACCGACTGAGTTTCCGAATCTTCTTCGGATATGAAGCTGCTGCCGTTGTCATCCTCAAACACTTCGGAAGCCACTGCAATGTTCAAAGAATATTCCAGTTAGCAAATTACTGACCCAGCTGCCCTTGTTCCCCTGGGGCCTTCGGGATACCACTTTGGCCAGGGCTGAGTCCCCTGTGCCAGCCTCAGCCAGCACCACCGTAATCCCAGCACTGACTCCTGGTTATTTAAGGCACTAATGAGGAAGACATCACTCCAAGAGCGGATTGCTTCCATCTTATCGTCCCACTTTTGCAGTTAAAATCCAGCATGAACTCCCAAGATCTCTTTTCACATGAGGATTACCAAGCAACACCAAGGTAAAAGCAGCCTCGCCCACATACATCATCTGCCCTGCTCACGTTTGCTCCAATCCGACTTCTAATGAAAGCAAACCAACTCCAAACTCTCTGCCTAGATTAAGCTGCAGGCTCGTCGTTAGCAACAGGAGAAGGAATCCATCAGAGGAGGTCCCACTTTGCGCAACACAGAAGTGTAGGTTTTGCTAAAATTCATCATTGTTCAAGCTCACGGCGGGCTGGGGACCTACGAACCGAAGACTCCTGCACACCAGCAGCCCCGCTGGGATCAGAAGGTTTGTAACCGTGCATCAGCCTCTCCTCTCCACTACAGTAACGTGTGTGCTGCCGTCACGCCGCTCTGGAGAAGCCCCACAAATAGCAAGACGCCCGCAGCGCCCTGAGGTTGCCTTCAGTGCCGCCACCCTGCGATTCCTGCCCTCATCAGTGCCCTGTTAATAAAACAGCTCCAAGGAGAAGTGTCAGAGTTGTTTTTGTGTTACCCCGGGGCTTGCGTGTGCCGCTCAGACACGAAGGGGGCCAACGGAGGCAGCCACCTTCATGATTACAGCAGAGATGCTCGCCCTCTTTCTGCTCCGCTTGCAGATCGCAGAACTGTATGTACACATGGCAGAACTGTCCTAAAAAGCTTCAAATACAAAATGGGTAAGAGGGTTACCAACGCCCCTAAGCCCCTTTCAGGGCACACTGTGCTCACAGGCAGTTTGCTGCGCTTTGGGTTTGGTTGGCTCGATCACAGAATGGTTTGGGTTGGAAGGGACCTTACAGACCATCCAGTTCCGCCCCCCCTGCCATGGGCAGGGACCCCTTCCACTAGACCAGGTTGCTCAAAGCCTCATCCAGCCTGGCCTTGAACACTTCCAGGGATGGGGCATCCACAGCTTCTCTGGGCAACCTGTGCCAGTGCCTCACCACCCTCTCTGTGAAGAACTTCTTACTGATATCCAATCTAAACCTCCCCACTTTCAATTTAAACCCGTTACCCCTTGTCCTGTCACTACAGGCCCCTGTAAAAAGTCCCCCCCAGCTGTGCAATTCAGAGAGGGACGAGCCCGTGCTACCAGTCCGTGCCTGCAGCCTCAGCAGCAGCCAGGAGAGCCAGCAACTCATTGCCCCAAATTAAACTTTCCTGCCTCTTTCTGCCCCTACACCCTAGGCCCCTGAGCTCCTTCAGCACAAGAAAACCCTGATCTCTGTTATTCCCATGGCTCTTGGGAGGGCTTCTGTGCAGGGAGGGGGGCTTGTGGGTATCCAGAGGCAAGCCCTGCCTAACTCGGAAAGGCACAGCGTCAGGCCTTGGAAGGGGTGGCAGAAGACACGCAGCGACACCAAAACCCTGTCACAGCGGCCGGCTCAGACTCTGCACTCGCTTGCTGTGGCAACACGGGTCCCAGCCGCACAGCACTGGGGGGGAGCTCCAGCACATCGTGCGAAAACTCCGGTGGCTGCAGAGGCGGCAGAAGACACGCAGTGACACCAAAACCCTGTCACAGCAGCCGGCTCAGACTCGGCACTCGCTTGCTGTGGCAACGCGGGTCCCAGCCGCACAGCACTGGGAGGGGGGAGCTCCAGCACATCGTGCGAAAACTCCGGTGGCTGCAGAGGGCGGAGGCTAGCCTGGGGCCAGCTCCCACGGCACAGACGGGCTGTACCACGGAGCTACAAGGCCTCGGCACCGGTGCGCACCTGCATCTGCGAGGGAAGCGCGTGTTCGGCCTTGGGGCACCGGGGTTGTGCAACTGTCAACTCCTGCAGTCCCGACCTAGACTTTTCCCTGCAGAAGTGGGGCTGAAATACAAATTAAACTGGGATTTGTGGGGCTGGGCAGCAAAAAAAAGGACTTTCTTCATCAAGAAGGGGAGGTGGCGTCCAGGAGGGAGGAAAAAGGAGGCCACATGCAAGGTCTGTCCATCCACTTTCACCCAGAGCCAGGGCAAAAGCAAACTCCCAACAGACCATTCCGGTCTTGGCAACCCGAGGTCCCCACGTGCCACCGGAAAGGTTACCAAGGTTTGGAGCTCGCGGCGCTTGCCGCTGTCACCCAAGAACGATGGCTCACACTGCACTGCCCCAGCGTGTTGCTGCTTCTTCGCCTGACCCGGGGGCGGCACACGCACCCATGAAATCATGCGTCAGCAGGAGATCCCACAGCACAGAGCTTATCCTTACAGCCCTTCCGGCCTACTGCAGCCGCAACCGTAGTCCCTCTGCCATAGGCCCGACGCTGCAGGCCACGGGCTTGACCCAAAGGTCTATGTCCATACACACCGCGGCCTCAGCAGCCAGGCCGAAGGATCTGCAGCAGCCTGCAACCGTCCCAGGCGAGTCCCCGACAGCGGCATCGCTGCCTTAAGACGTTAGAAATGTGCTTTGAAGTGCGTCGGTTCTGTTCCTTCCGCCTAGCAACTGCACGAGAACCAACAGTGATGCTAAGGGAACCGCTGATGCGCTTCTACCGACACCCCCTCCCCTTGAAAAGTGGCTGTTAACGAACACCATCAACTCCCCTAATAACGAGAAGCCTAACGAGCAAGCCTCAGTCCCACGACAGCCAGCACATTTCAAACCGCAGAACGCGCAGAGCGCCCTCCACCTCGGCGTGTCTTACAACGCCCATGGGACGTTCCCAGCCACGGGAGCGTTCCATACTCACTGGAGATGGTGTCTGACTCCGGTTTACTTGCTGACAGGTCTTCCACAGAGGCATTGCTCCCTTCAGCACCCACGCCACATCCTCGGGGCCCCATGGCAGTGGACCGTCTCCTCTCATGAATCTCGTCCGAGATCATCTCCAGGTTTTTCAGGGCAGTCTTATACTCTCCCTTTGCCAGGGCCAGCTTTGCCTGCAGGTCATCCACCGTTTTCTTCAGGTGCTACCAAGGAAATCGGGTATTAGAGGTGCTTTCGTCACAAGCGGCACGCAGCACGCGGTTCTCCGTTACGCGTCCGCGTGACGTGGCTCTGCGGGGGCAGGCTGGTGTAAGCCGGGGTGGGCATCTAGGCGAGGGGAGAGCCCGTAAGTCAAGAGCACCCCAGTGCAAGCGACAGAGATGGCAGACCACGGGAGCCAGGGGCAGCGTCCGTGTCCCCAGACACAAGCTCCTCTCTACAGCAAGGGCAGAGGTGCTGTACGCCCTGTCTCCCAAAGGGAAAGCGCTGCTCATAGCTGTCTCAGCGCTGTTTCATACTGTACGTTAAAAGCAATCTGTGTTTTACGTAGTCACCCTGCTTCAGGACAGCACCCAGCAGCTGCCACGGAGAAGCAACAGTCCCCAGACAGCGGGCCTTTGCCCACAGGAGAAGGGGATTTTTCAAAAGGTGCCTCCAGCCAAAGGGTTTATGGGGCTGGCACCCGGCCCAGGACCACGGCTACATGGGCGGGCAAGACAGAGGAGCAAAGGGATCCTGGATCCTGGCAAGGAAAAGGTGTGTGCCAGAGTCTCTGGGGCTTACAAAGAGCTGTTGCCCCTCAGGCAGCCAGGGAAGGGCTCACCAGAAAAGGTGTGGGACACACCTTGCTCCCCAGGCAAGGATACATAGACTGGTTTGGGTTGGAAGGGGCCTTAAAGACCATCTAGTTCCAACCCCCCTGCCATGGGCAGGGACACCTTCCACTAGACTGTGGGAGGCATCATCTAGCTGGGCCTCTGCTGACCCAGCGCCTCGCTGGAGCCTTCCCGCGCCCGTGGCCGGCAGCGGGAGGCCACCCGAGCCTGCACACACCACCCACACCTACAGCACCAGCCGCTACCCTTCAACTCAGAAGGGCCCGGCTCCCAGTTTTTGGGGGCCACACACAGCAAAAGTCACTCCAATAGAGTGATTTTTGCACTTGAACCTTCAGTGCGACTTTGCTCTCCCACCCCAGGCAGCACAAGGGCTGTAGTAGCAGGGATGACCATCCCACGCACAACTGCCATGCCTGCCCCGGGCCCGCTGCGCCCTGCAAGGCACGCACGCTGTGCCCGAGCACTGGCCAGACATGGCTGCACCCCACGGAGCGCAGCGTGGCGATGCCAAAAAATGGCCTGGCAGCCTTTCCAGCCACTTGACATCTGCCTGATGTTGGCGTACTGCAGGCAGGTCACGTGTGCTGTTAATTGACCCAACCAGCAAACATAAAGAGCACCCCAGGCACAGTTAAACAGTCTGATGCATGAAACACAGGGGAGTAAAAACCCAACCAAAACACCCAACCCAACCAACCCCAGAGACTTCAAACAACAAGACGACAGTCAAACCGTATTTGTTCTGTTCCAGCAGTGAGCCACAGGGTTCAAACACCCGCTTCACACGAGGCAACAAAGCCCCTCTCAGTCTTTTATCTCTAAAAATGTACTTTGCAAATTGCTCAAGAGGTTTGGGATGAAATCGGTTTTGTACAGAAACACCCCACAGTTGCCAGAGCACTGGAGGTGGAGTTTCAGTATCTACCACAGGCAGGGAAGTTTCAGACAGATGTGGATGACATACGTACCTCTAGCTGGATATAGTACTTGGCCTTGAGTTCATAATAAGGTCTGTGGGAAAACAAAGAAGAGTTGTTTACAATCCCCGGGACCGAATGCAGAGGGCTGGAGTGGGACTTGCTCTCCCGACAGCGGGAACATGGCTATTTCATGTTTTGCCATAATCCCGAGGGACCACCACGATGAGGGAGCACCTACATGTGCTCCCCCGGTCTCTCCCTTCCCCCTCCAATATATCTGTTTGTCACAGCCCTTCTGACCTAAATACAAATCGCAAAATTCCAGTTGCTGGAGCTGACAGCGTAATTCCTTCAGGCCTAGATTCTGCGGGACATTTAGATGCAAGGTCTGGCTCCAGGCATAGGCATCCTCTCCGTATCCATCTCATTTCTGAGCCCCCAGAAGGAGACCCTTAGACTCCCCATGTTCAGCTGCAGGTGTGAAGGGGCAGTCCTTAGGTGTTTTGGTGAGGGGGAGGGGACGAAGGGAGGTCAGAGCACCTCACCCAAGGGCACAGCAGGCACTTCCCTCCCTCCCAGGCACTCCAACAGTTTGCCTGGACACACAGAACTGTGTCCCACCCAGCTTGCTTCCCACTAGAGACAACAAGGCTTGCTCACAGGGCTGCAGGGGCACAAGAGGTGTCATACAAAGCCTAGAAAGCACATTCCAGGTTCAGAGTTTTGAAACCCATGAGCCAGTATCATCTGAAATAACACAGGCCAGCAAATAAAGCCCCGATTTTTTTTTAGCAGGGGTCACTATCCTCCTCCCCTCTCAGCAGCTCTCCTGGAAAGTATGGGAGAGAGAAACCATTAGACACGGTTTTATATGGAAGAGAACATGGACTACCCTTGCCATATTTCTACCCTGACAGCAAGCCTCTTCTAAGCTCCAAGGCCTACTGCAGCTGCATTTTGGGCTGTGCACCCGAACTCAGGAGCATAAGGCTGTGGCTTCCTGATCCTATATGCTTTGAAGGGTTGAATTCACTACACAGTCAACACAAAATAACCAAGTCACACCTCCATGAGAATATCTGTGTTTTTAATCAACCACCTTACCATCACTAGGAGCCCACGGCCAGGTCTGACATAAAACATTGCAGCTGGGAGTCCGGATCCAACAGTCAAATGTCCCCTACAGCCGTACCCCAAAGCAATGGGAGGGCAGATGCACCCACAGAACGGTGTTGCAGGGAGCTCCGTGAAACCCACTCACTCCAAATGACCCAATTCTCTCCCTCCCTTAGCCTAGCACCAACTGGGAGGGAACAGCCAGGCTTGAATCCTAACCTCCCACCAGCTTCTACAAGCCTGGGGGAAAAGTCCCCTTTCCATGAGTAAACAAGCACGTGTGCGTTTGTGGGGCGTGAAAAAATAAGGTAGGCGTGTGTGCGTGTGTGTACATGCATGTGTACACTCAGATATAGACATACACGTCTGAGCGGGCGCAGTGACAGGTAACGGACAAGAAAGACACCACCCAAGCCAGGAGAAGGATACCAGCAGCATGACATGTGGAATTCAGACATAAGCACCCTTCCTCACATCAAGGGAGGGGATTCTGCCCCTCTACCCTGCTCTCCTGAGACCCCTCCTGGAGTGCTGCGTCCAGCTGCGGAGCCCCCAGCAGCAGAAGGATACAGACCAGTTGGAGCGAGTCCAGAGGAGGCCACGAAGATGCTCCGAGGGCTGGAGCCCCTCTGCTATGGGGACAGACTGAGAGAGGTGGGCTTGTTCAGCCTGGAGAAGAGAAGGCTCCGGGGAGACCTTAGAGCCCCTTCCAGTGCCTGAAGGGGCTACAAGGAAGCTGGGGGGACTTTTTACAAGGGCCTGTAGTGACAGGACAAGGGGGAATGGGTTTAAATTGAAAGTGGGGAGATTTAGATTGGTTATCAGGAAGAAGTTCTTCCCAGAGAGGGTGGTGAGGCACTGGAACAGTTTGCCCAGAGAAGCTGTGGATGCCCCATCCCTGGAAGTGTTCAAGGCCAGGCTGGCTGAGGCTTTGAGCAACCTGGTCTAGTGGAAGGTGTCCCTGCCCATGGCAGGGGGGTTGGAACTGGATGGCCTGTAAGATCCCTTCCAACCCAAACCATTCCGTGATTCCTCACTCATCGCTAATGCACAGCCAGGCCCCGGATGCCAGCAGAAAGCAATGCATCAGCAAGGCAGGGCATCACACATCCTCGGGTCGCTGCATTCCTGTACACCCGTGACCCCGTCGCTACTGAAACCTGGCCCGTGACACAGCAGGGCTGGCGAACTGTTCACTGATGCAGTCGGTGTCCTACACCATCACTTGTCTAAATCCACGCCGTTGCGTAGACAAGCAAAGTGCTTTTGAAGTAGGTGACAGGAAGAGCGAAAGGCACTTTGACCGAGTCACCGGAGCAGAAAGCGACTTCCAAAAACCAGCGAACACACAGGCGAGTTCATTATCCTACAGCTCGGAGGCACTGAGCCAGAAGATCTGGCGACTGTTAAGAACATGCAGCCGTATGCACATTCATCAGCTACAAGCAAGCAAGCACCCAGAAACAAAATTAAAAGCAAAGCCAAACCAAAACAATCCAATACTCATCCACTGATCAACTTTACACGGCAAATCATCTAAATGGCTTTCCCCGGGGCTGTCCCAGCCTTGCTCTCAAACAGTGACGCTTTAAGCATCTTCATCCAGACTGAAGCGAGGAGCAAACCCAAATCGCTTTGCATGGAAAAGAGCACCTCGCCCGCCACATCCACCCGCGAGTTTATGGAGAGAGGGGACGGACGACACGGGCCCGAAAGGCCCAGGCGTTGCAGCCAATCCTCCCGCACCCCCCAGGGAGGAGGGCCGAGCGGTTGCTGGAGCTAAATCCTTCCTGAGTTGGAGCTAGCAGCCAGTCACACCCCACTACACAAGTGCATTCAGCAGCCTCATTTCCCAGTTGCAAGTAGCCACCCGACAGCACCGACGTTTTCAGCTCAGTTTTCCTTTACATGAGAACTGCAACGCTGAGCGACGACGGACCTTCCCAACATCCCTATGGAGTATGACTTCCAATACATCCATGATAAGCCTGTTTGTGCCATCAGGCATCTTCCACTTCAATTCTAGGTTAGAATTGGTACACCCCTTATTAAAAGATCGCCAAAACACCCTACCCTATGTGGTCTGGGCTGCAGTCAGCCCTGCTGCGAGACAAAGGAACGTGTTGGGATCCTTCCATACAAGAGAACGTGAAAGGAATGCCAGAACACCCCCATGAGAGTAGTTTCAGTGAGGAAATGAAGACTCAGAAGGCAGATCACACGAGAAGCAGCTGGGGTATTAAAAAGGTGGGTAAGACCCCTCTGACAACTTACCAGGGTCTTTATTTTAAATCTTATTGTAAGGAAAGAACTCCTTGCAGCCAAACCACATCTCAGACACTGCTCTTGCGCAGAGGAATCTGTCATTTGGCGATCTGATGGCGTTTTTCACAGTCCCTGCAGTGCTAGACAAACAGCACGCGGCTGGGTCTGGGAAGCCACGTGGCTACACTGTTTCAGCCAACGTGCTTGTATCTTCTTGGAAAAGTGCTAATCCTTTCTTGAACTGACCAAGCATCAGTCAAAATAGATTTTTAGTTGACCAATTTCACTGAAAATGGAAATTAGATGGAGGGATTAAAAGCTAAATAGAGCAACCAGATTGTTTCCAGACTGTAGCTTGTCTGAACAAAGAGAATGACTGTGAAATACAAAGAAGATTAAGACGTGTTTGTAAGCAGGGCCAAAATTTTAAACAGGTTCCGAGCAAAAAGCTGTTTTGCTTCTCCACAAGCCAGCAAACCCACACATGGGACGTGGACACGTTGGCTAGCGACGCTTGCTGCTTAGCTCTGCTCTCTGCCAGCAACGGCCCTCGCACAGCTCTGCTACGGCAGCGTTAGGAGGTAAACAAGGCTGATGCACAGTACCCGGTGCTGACGCAGTCTCGCACCTTTCAGGTTTCCGTCACTTGCTTTGTTGCTCTCCAGACTAAAAATAAAGAACTCAACTGCAAATGATCCTGAGCTGTAGAACACCCATGCATCGAGGTGTGCAGCTCCCTAGACAGCATCTCTGCGAGTCCCACGAACCTGCTTCCTAAGTCACACGCCACCAAAGTGTTCACCGCACTAAAGCAAGACCAAGAACATGCCCAGAAAAGGTGTCTTATCCCGCTCAGTTCACCAGCCTATCCAGTCAGGTGCTTCAAAGCCATTTAGGACAACAAACACAGGACAAAGACCAGTGCTAATTGTGCTGTGAGGCTGCTGCGTGCAGACAGGAGCCCGAAGGGAGAAGGACAAAGGGCAACACGCTCTTACAAGTCTGAAAAACCCCACAGAATTGCTATTTCCACCCCGCCCCCCAACAGATTTTGCCACCAATCTCCAAACATAAAACTTACTTTGATTTATTGATGGCTCTTTTCAGCTTCTTCTCCAGTTGTTTCATCCTTCCCATGGCAGCGTTGTATTTGGCTGCAGTCTCCTTGTGAACCAATTCACTTCTCGTTTTGGTCTGTTCTGCTTCCATGACCTTCAAGAGGGGGGAAAAAAAAAAAACCAAAACCAGGTTGAGTGGCAAGACACAATAATCCATTTCTTATCATTTTAATTAACAGGATCATCTTAATCTCTCCAATCAGCTCATGTCAGCAAAGTGAGGGTATAGGAAAAATTACTTTCAATGAACCTGCTTAAAAGCCTCTCCCAAAAGGAGCAGCAATATGTCAGATTTGCAAACACTGCGTTAATTATGACAGAGGCGTTGCAGCTTCTTGCATAACGTCTCTTATGGGAAGTTCAGAAGAGCATCAGATTTTGGGATCATCCATTTTTTAACCCAGTTAGATACTCGGGAGTGGAGCAGCTCCAGCAGAAGTCACCCAATTTCATTTAACAGTCTTGTTTCCACTCCCTCTTGCTTCTCTAGCAGGAGCCAGCCTTTGCCAGGAGGGAGTCAGCAGGCTGCTCAGCCCCCCACTGTAGTCCCACCACACTGGGAAGGGCTGAAAACCAACGGCAGCGCTGGGAGGACTGACATGCAGTGCAGCCCAAAACCCCAGAAACCAGAAAACAGCATGTCCAACGGCTGCCTGTTTGCAGAAGGCCAGGAAGCCAGCTTTTCTCTTAAAACAGCTGACCAGCCTCAAAGCAGGGTTTCAGCACCTGAGCTCTCAGATCCAGGGAGAATATTCAAAATATCTTGATTTTAAAATAACCTCACCCACAAAGCTCTCATTTCTTGAGAGCATCCTAGCTGTCAGGGAAAACAGGGAAAAGAGCACAACTGACTTGGACTTGGCTTGGAGTGCTGCTCGTCTCAGGAAAACTGTTGTGTTGTCCTTTCTGATGCCTAAGTGAAAGCATGAAACTGCCACGTGCCGACGCTGAACTGCATCGTTATCAACTAGAAGCTCTGGCTGCCACAACCGGAGGCTATGTTTTGCTCCTCTGCACACACCACTTCTTATTAAACAAAGAAGTTCTTATGAGAAAGAAAGGTTTCCAAAGGCTCTTTTCATTAGATATAACAAAAATATACTCAACTCCAACACCCTTCAACTATTTTACATATAAACAAGGCACCCACTTTCAAAAGAAAGGTCAAAACCAATAATCTATCAGATTTGTAACAGGCTCTCTCCTGCATCCTGAAAACAAGCCTCTTCCCTTGGCAAACTGTTTGAAAGGTGGTTTGGTGCAATGACTTTCCCTAGTGAAACACTGGTTTCAGCATGGAAGAGTCTTAAATTAAAATGCAGTCTCCATGGACCGCGCAGAGGCTGGTTTGCCTTCTTCGTAGCATGGCAAGGCAATTGCAATTTAAAAATGCTAGAAGCTACAAAATAATGGAGCGTCTGGAATTTGCCAATGCTCAATTGAATGTCAATCCCTGGCAAAAATCAACTTTGGTATCTAGGACAAAGCACGTGGTAAGTACTACCAGCATCAGGGCCGTAAAGCAGGTGAGGTGTCAGATATCGTGTGGATTTTGCACATCTTTCCTATCAAGCATCACAGAAACACTGAACCCTGCAGAACTGGGATTTGAGGATGACAGACTGTAAACACCTCACAGTATCTGACAAAATATGGAGTTTGCTGCCAGCTGTATATACCTATGTTCATTACCCTTTCCAGAAAGAAAGGAAAGAAGGTTGTATACTTCATCCTTTTGATAAATCAGTAATATAAGGAAAACCATCTCCCCCCACTCCCTTGTTTTCCGGTCATCATGCTCACATTACCCGAACAAATCTGCAGAGGGGCCAGAGACAGCCTGTCCCTTTCCCCAGACAGCAGCTCAAGATGCACACCCGAGGCTGAGGACAGTACCAGGAAGACTGTGAGGTACCTCTGTGGGGTTCCATCACCCCCCATATGCATTTAAGCATTTCGTTCAGACAAGAAGAAACAAAAAGACCATTCACTCCTCCACAAAAGCCAAAAGGTCTTTAAAAAGAGAAGCTGTCCCTCAGAGCGGGTGGACCACCTGCGACTCACGCTGCCGCCTCTATATCTAGGAGGTTCAATTTCAGACCAGCTAGGGGAACCCGTCACCTTTTAAAAAGGTCTTAGAAGACCACCGACAAGGCTTGTCTGGGAAAAAACGTCATTTTATCAGACCTAATAATAGAGCTGAGGAAAAAGCAGCTTATGAACCTGGTTTTGTACACATTTGCTTTCCTTTGGTACACATTTGTGAATGATTTTCAAAGTGAAGATCTCTCTCCTTCATCCCTCCAAACAGAAAAAAAAGCTTAAGGATTTGTAAACAAGCTTTTGGTGACAGTTACCGAATAAGCTGTTTTGTCTCATGAAAGTCACCGTGCCCCTACCACTAACCTTGCCTTGCTGATGCTCCTAAGACATCACAGATGCCACAGCATCACTTAGAAAAAGGCAGAGATAAAAGTGAGGATGCCACCTCTTCAAATTAAGACTGCCCAAGACACACCTCTCCTCCTTACATTGTGCTTGACCTCAACACCTTGGGGAGAGCAGGGGACGCACTCTTACACAAAAAGATCCGGAGTGGGTGAACTTCTAGGATACCCACACATTCACTGGACATTTCTGTAGCCCACACCCATCCATAATCAATAGGTCACCCATTCCATGCAGAAGTCATTCTCCCAGGTAACACAGGCTACAACATACAACCATCGGAAAACAAAAAAACAAACAAAAAACCTCCCATCACAGGTAGCGATCGATTCCTTCCCTCTCCTTCCCTTCCTTACCCTCTAGTTCCAATACAGTTGTCTGGGAAAGGAAGGTTGGTGTAGAGTGTGTATTTTTAGTGAATAAGTCTGTACAAGCAGCTTTGCTCCCAGCAAAAGATTTGCATGATCTGAAGTCAGATATGGACTCCAGGCAAAATTTCAGTCATAACAACAGATGCAAAATAAAAGTTTATCAGTGGAATTAAGCAAAGCTGGCCATCTGAGCCAGAGAATTATTTTGGACAACTGTTTCTTTCTCAAAAAATTCTCTTCTCTGCTATTTCTAATATTTCCCCTAGAAGAGAAGAGACAATTCAAGGTCAGCAAACCAGGAGGACAAAATCAACAATACAAGGGATTGCATTTAACCCCTGCTTTTTCAGGATGAAGTGACAGAATGCAGGGAAGGATGTGGGTGTTTTCGCTGTTTCTTTCCCAGACTTTTCTCCTCCCTCCAGCTCTTCTCCAAGTATTTCTATCTGCAGGAAGTCTCTCTTCTTCCACATCCCGAAAGCACCCACGCATTTTACACTGACAGATGGTACTTCACGGTGTAATATCAAAGGGAGCTTCACAAGCCAAGTTAAACCAAGAGGGAGTATGCCTCCTCCCTCTTCACTCTCCCTTCACCCCTTCCTTTTCAAAATGTCTCATGATCAAGAGCCAAAACATTTCTTCTCCCTGCCAGAATTCATGAGCTGAACATATCTCAGGGAAGACTGTAAAAGCAGAATCTTTTTAAGACTGCAGATTGCACCGGTAATTAGAAATTATTCTCTTGAAATTCATGAAGGATCTTCCTTTCTGTTCCAGCTCGTCTCTTAGGAAGAGGTATTTGAGGTAATGCATCTGTCAGCGCTTCCCTTTTGTACACATTCGCGAATGATTTTCAGCAGTATAAATGTGAAGATCTCTTTCATCCCTCCCAAATTCTCCACCCTTTGGCCCTTTTATAGCCCTGCTCTCTGCACCTCAAACTGCAGCATTATAGTTATAACAGAGACCGAATCTTACAATGAACTTTGCCCCTACAGCCACATGAACTCTTCTCCAGACACCGTTACTCATCAGACTTCCTTTGACTAGAGTGGAAGTTCAGGCATGTAGCTGGGACGTGCAGACTGATGTTCCAGATACCTGACACTGGTCATTACACTTCGATCTGTGCAGAAATGGACATCCAGAAAAACCACAGGAACTTACCCAAAAATAGACATCAAGTTAAGAGTCGAAGCAGGTACAGCAGCTGCCCGACTTGTAGGATCACATCACAGTCCTGCGCTTCACTGTGCTCCACACAAAGCTCAAGCACAGACCTTCACAGCGATTAGCTGCATCTCCACAAGTTCATCCAGCTCCTCTTTAGGCACCCAGCTTCCTTTGGAAACACAGCTCAGACTGCAAGGTGCAAAAATTGCTGAGTGACAGCCTGTACTCCCTGTTCATGCTGCTCATGTCTGCTCCACGAAGAAAAACATCTTACACCTTATGCTTTCAGCCCACCCAGGACAAGCAAAATTTCAGCAACTCCCATTTCTCATCAGTTTAATTATATAGTTTTCCCTATCAGTGGCTACAAAAGCCTTGTTTACAGTAAATAACCTGTTAGACTGTCACATTAAAAATGGTGTTAATAGCTTTTCAGTCTACGAAGAAATCGCGAAGGAATTCCAACAGGCAACCCTTCTCTCCACTGCCTCCCAGCGAGGGTCCGCAAACTGCATTTCCTGTTCGGTACTCTGGAACCCAAGGCCTTGTTCACATCCTTTGGGTCGAGTGCAAAATTCACCTGGCATTATTTCTGTACGTGCCTGTATAAAAAGAAAATACTGTCTCGTTTGTTCTCTACCCTTTCCCTTCATGCTCCCTTGTTTGCACGGGTCAGCTATCAACCTGCTACAAGGCTCGAGTTCTGTTCCAAAATTCAGATTAATTCAATAGAGCCTGATACCTCTGCCTAAGAAGAGCAAATAAATAACTCTTGACTCTTGGCTGACATTTCTATCAACAGAGAAACAAACAAATTAGCAGCTCACTACTAACATTGGGCAAAGAGGTGCTTTTCTGCTCTTGATTCATTGCTGTACAAGGCCCAGTGCAAGATTGTTCCTCTGCCAGGTACAGCAGACATGCAAAAAAAGCTAGGAAATCCAAACAACTAGAATGCAAAACCTTTCTCCAAAAGTGGTATGTGGAAGTAGAGGAATTCTCTTTCTTAACCCGCAGCCTTTGCCCTCAGAAACAGTTTTTTCCATTAGTAGTTTCTGATGTAATTAAGAGTAAATGTTCTGAGTTAACTGCAACACTGGCAGTCAAGGAGAAACCTTGTTCTAGTAGGTCTCATCGTCCAACCTGCTTTCATTCATAGCTCGGCAGGGAACAATGAAGTTTTCTGCTCCTTGAGCCCCCAGTTTTTCCTCTTTACCTCACTGAACAGTAGGCATTTCACTAACCGCACGCATGGAAACTGGGGAAGCATTCACTCTGCTCCTGAAGAGACATAAACCTCAGCCCTCCACACAAACTGATGCTGGGTCTGTTCAGTCACGGTCTGTCCCGACATCCAGCAGTGTTTTTACCCTTTTACCCGTGTTCTGGCCCCAACATCAAGGCCCCCAGTATGGCAAATGAATCATAGAACCATAGAATGGTTTGGGTAGGAAGGGACCTTAAAGACCATCTAGTTCCAACCCCCCTGCCATGGGCAGGGACACCTTCCACTAGACCAGGTTGCTCAAAGCCTCATCCAGCCTGGCCTTGAACACTTCCAGGGATGGGGCATCCATGGCTTCTCCGGGCAACCTGTTCCAGTGCCTCACCACCCTCTCCATGAAAATCAGGAGACAAAATTCCATGTAACTCTTTCAAAATCTGCTGTACCCTGGAAAGGTGCAGGTAGGTGCTGTCTGGGAACTGAGCTTACGCAGGCTATTTTAAGTGCCAGGAAGAGTTGGGTAACAAGCTTTCCATCCAAGGAGCCATCAGCTGCTCTACAGAATCCAGTCTGTGCCTAGGAGACTTTATAACTGCAGTAAATAAGCCTAAGGTTCCTATTTACTGTTCATCTGTCACCATCAGAGACATTAGGGTTTGAATCAGCCCTCTGACACGCAGATACTCCGCATTCAGTGATGATCCCTATCAACCCCACCAGCACGACTCCACTGCACACTGCCAGCAGCCAACGCCTGCTCCCCACCACAGGCTTTGCCTGTCTCCTCTCCTCTCGCAGACTGTCCAGGAAGGATTCAGAGTTGTAGGACACAGGGATCCCCTTGAAATATCCAAGAGGAATCCATGTGAACTCTTGAAATTGGTAGCATTTCTCTCCTCACCCACCCCACACCAATTTTCATTATGCTAGCTGGACAGAGGTGGCTGTCACTCTCCACCAGATCTCAGCAGTTTCGCAGCGAGGAGCTTTAAGCAACTCCTTAGGTGCTTCCACTTTTCTCACCTAGCTATTCCGAGAATCAGAAATTGTCTATGCATTTCTGACACTGCCCTTGCTGAACAGGGATAACAACTAGGGAAAACGACAGCTGCTGGTGCGCTGGCACACATGGCGGGGCTCCCTTCAGAAACGGAGGTGACCACATCTGCAAATACCCAATAACACCACAAGCGATACCCTGGAGTTTGTTTCCTCCTTTTTAACGTATACCAGGTTTTCCATCTCTCCCCGACACACAGCCAACATCCTTTTTGTTCTCTGTTTCTTCATCAGGCAGCTGTTTTTTACTCTGAAATAGAGGGTGCCTTATAACCAAGAGGCTTCTGCAGCAGAAGAGAGCTATTGCACTGAGGGCTGCAAGACAACACGGACATTGTACGGAACACTAGCACATTCCGAACAGCAAGTTCAGCTTCACTGGTGTATTAAGGGAACTCTGGCACAACAAAAGGTTTTTAACGTTGATTTTTAGATCTTATGTTAAAAAAAAAAAACACAACACCTTTCTGCCTTTTTTTTTTTTTAAACAGGAAAAAGAGACACGGCAAATGACAGGAAAATTCTTCTTGACAGCTGCTAAAATGGAGTTTGCCTTTCACTGTTAGACAGTGCACCTCTTCTGTAGATTTAAAAGGACTTTACAAAGGAGATAAGACCTTGTCTAAATCTGAAAGTTAATTCAGGATAGAGCAGCGTGCAAGTTTAAAACACAACACACGTTTCTGAGAAATTCTACATTCAAACACACGTTTCCGAAGAGACGTGCTTTGTTCAACCTACTCCATATTGAGAACAGGTTACACTAAAATTGGAACATGTCTGTGTTTTTCCAGAGTAAGAGTTTCCATAACGTGTATTCAGGAATACCCATCCCTATGCAATTATTCCGGCATACATCCAAATGCAGATATGCCTTAAGACATTGTTTATCCCTATTATACAGATGGTAATTTTTTTTCTTTAGAGAGCTTCTCCACTAGCTACTAGCACAGCCAGAAAGAGCATGATAGGTGTCCCAGTAGCAGCCCAAGGCCCAAATCATTTAACCACAGGCTTTGTAATTTTCTGTAGCTTCGTTTCCTACATGTCATGCATCCAGAGCAATTCAAAAATTTGGTCTTTCAGAAACTAAGCCTCACACACCACAGGAGAACACAAAACATGGAAAAGACAGATGCTGGAGTGAGCTTGTATTACCCTCTGAGTAGCATGATTGAGCATCTCTTGCCAGGCAGAGTCAAACTGGCGTTTGTCATCTTCCAGTAGCCTCTGCTCAGCAAGGGAAATGGTCTCTTTTGCAGCACGCAGCACCTCAGTGGCCCTCTGAAAATCCTGCGTCGCCCGCTGCGCTTCCAGCTGTGCCTAAAAAAGAAGAGAGAGAAGTTGGGATCAGAGACAAAGGAACCCTCAGTCGCATTTAGAAGACCTACCACGCTAATCCTGGGAGTTTAAACACACCCCGCCTGCATTACTGTTTCCCAGCCTTTTACTTGGAAGTGACACGTATTTCCTCACCGGAGTAAGCAGTGCTAAGACAGCAGTTCCCACCCAAACAGGTAACTCGCAAATAACTGCCTCATGGTGTTCATGGGCAGAAACTGCACAGCTGCTGGCCTACAAAGAAGCGCCGGGATGACAGATAAGTACCTCATGATGTAGGTTTTAACCACTGAGAACCAAACCAAAAGAGAACGCAATAGCAAACTTCTAGCTGGACAGGAATACATAGAGAATGGCACTCCCCGAGTCTAGTCAGGGTGGATTTTTATCTGGTGCACCATTAATCACACCAAGGAAATGTTTTGGAAGTATTACATTGCTACAAAGCACAAACAAGTCTTCTGCCAAGGTGGCTGCTAATTCTTTGGGTGTATGGGCACTCTGCTATTGCTAGGACACAACTGGTGCAGCCAGTCCCCAGTACACAAAAGTAACCAGGGGAATTTGCAATGGATGTAAAACACAGATAAAGGCCCCTCCACATCCTTTGGGAACTGCTGCTTCTCTTCAGCAAAATAACACAAAGTTTGAGCTTGAAGGAAGCACCCTCAGGAATCTGCATGGAAACACAAGTCAGCAGAGAGCTCAGCGGTCTGCAGGGCTGCACTTCAATACCTGTGACAAGTCTCAGGTGTTCAAAATAGGTGACACTACAAACAAAGAATATCCATAAACAAATTACTGGTGTTAGCTGGGTTTTGGTTGGTTGGTTGTGTTTCGGTGTGTTTTTTGTTGGGTTTGGGTTTTTTTAAAGACGGAGATGTCCTCTCTTTTTATAGTTCTCACTGAATGACTAGCAATTTTAATGTTCAGGCTTTCAAACGCCCAGGTTTCACATTTGCTTTCCTTCATCAGAAATTTTTAATTTCTGAAGCTTGTATGTTCATTTGCTATCTCTTAACTGTATCAGCACTGCACTGTCCTAGAGCCCTTTTGAGGTTGATGCACAAATATCTTGTTTAGTTCAAAAGTAAAATCTTTACCAGAACTTTTCTACATTATGTATTTCATAAATTTCTATTTAAAGTAGTATTTCTGAGCTGTTTTGCAATGAAAAAACATCCTTCAAATGTAAGCTTCATATTTAATTAACTGAACATCCAGCACTGTGAAGACAGTTTTTGTTTACACTTCAATGATTTATTTTTTTTTTTTAAATAAGCTGGAATTACCCAGTTTATGCCTATGGGAAATGTCTTTGACCAGACACGGCTGACAGAATAAACTAATGAATAAAACTTTACATGTCATGATACACAGAGAAGGAGTCTGAGGCTGAAACAGGAGCAAGGACTCTGACATACGGAATGGCAAATTGGGAAAGATGGAGTCTTACAAATAAAGGAAGAGCTATTAGTGTGAAGAAATGGTGGTCATTTGGGAAGCGGCTGAAAATCCCCAATACAAAACAGGAAAGAAGTAGCACAACGGTGCATTCCTCCAGCAAATAGGTGCCTACACCTCCTTAACGCCAGCTGCATCAAGTACCTTCACACTTGAGACACCATAGTTATTTGTAAAGGGTAATGGAAAAAAAACCCTTCCCTCCCTGCCCTGTGGCAGGGAGACGAACTCCTAGTTTATACACAAGTCTCAAAAGGAAATAAAGCACACAGTTTCCCTCACAACATCCTGAAATAGCAGCAATCCCTTCTTACTTCCTTCCCCACATCACAGGGAGGTACTTCATCCCAAAGTGACCATGGAAACACAGGAGTTATGTGTCAGAGGTCCTTCAGCTACCAGCTGGGGAGGGAAATCAAAGTCATCACAGTCAGCCCAGTTGATTTCCTTCCAACCAAGGCCCTTGATGCACTTCCTTCTGAAGTGGCTGCTGGCATTTTCCACAGAAGAGAAACTCATCTAACCCTTTGCTGCTTTCAGGCAGCTTAAACCACACCACCCTGACTAAGGCCCTCATGAACAGCCAGGACATTACCTTCCATGCAGGACTGCACATCCCAGAGCAGCACAGAGCTTTGGGCCAATATAATTAGGCCAATGAACAGCATCCTGGTGTAAATTCATTGTTCATCTGGTCTCTTAAGAAGTTCAAGAGAAAACCCCACACATCACATCTTACCAGCTGCCTGTTTCAAATGCATTAACGCATTTTATAAACTCAGAATAAACCCGACTAAAGAATGTTTTCATTTAGCCACTAGCTCACTTAAGCCGCGTTACCCACCAAGCCCAGGAAAGCCATCTGAGGATCTTTAAACAGGGCTCAACCGAAGCTTCCAACAAAGGATGCAGCAAGAAGCCCGAATCTTAGGCCCCAAAATATCGTCTGCTGAATTCTCTGAAAATTCACAACTTTTTTTCTTCCAGTAAGTTTGACCTATGCTAATAAAGGGATCAAATGGAAATAAAGGCCAAGTGTTTTCCATAAAATAGTTTGAGATGGGATTTTAACAAGTGAAATAAAATGCAAGACTGCAGTAGGAGCCTACCCCAAATATAGCAGGACAGGGCCGAGCACACTGGGAGAAAGAGCAGGACTGATTTTAACCCTGCAAGAGGAAGCCAGGTCCCAATAACTCCCAAGCAGTAAGGCCGTCACACCTGGCCCCAGCGCAGGCTTCAGCTCCACAGCTGCCCTGCTGCAGGAGCGGGCCTGCCCGCACACGAAACAACTCGTCAGTGCAGGAACACAGGCTGGCAACCCGTTCCTGGCACAGGCAGAACCGCACCAGCCAGCAACTGCTGTCGAAAGTCTAGTAAAACCAGATCCCGGGGGCAACGCAAGCACAGGAGAAGCATGGTTTTCTCTCCATAACTGCATCAGCACTTGAGTTTCTGTTGGCACGGATACCTGGGTCAGGAATCAACGCATGGAAGCCAGCAGAGCATTAGGAGGTGAGTTACTAAATCCCCATGGAAAACTATGTTTGGTTGCAGCACTAGTGGCTCCTTCCCATGAAGCCTCTAAAGCACAATTGGCTTCACAGCAGGAAAGCTTTTATTAGGATAAGAAAACCAGCAGCTGACTTTAGAGTTCCGCTAGACTTCTGCTTGCACCTGGACTTGCAGGACGTTGAAAGCCAAACAGGCAGGCTCCAGCCACCCTTCATGCCCCAGAACTGCGTAGGCAAGTTGGAAAACCGAAACAAAACCGTACTTAACTGCTCTCCTCTCTGCCAGCTCTATTTGTTGAATACTACTCTGCAACAGCAGTTTAGAAACACTGGTTTGGAATGCAAAATGAATTTTGGTTTAAGCAAAGGAGTTAGTCCAAACAGCAATTTAGCTTCAACAGTTGTCTGAAGTCAGCCTACAGTCTTTTATTTTAAGCAACTTACTGAAAGCCTGGGAAAGGAAAAAATCCCAAATGGCTAAGGTAAAGAACGGTATGTTAGTCATTAGAGAAACATCAAGAGGTTTGTGGTTTTGCCAATGTGAAAAAGGATACTCAAACACTTTTTAGTTAGTTTACTCAATAATTAGCCTTCATTTAGAACTCCCTCCAGCACGTACAAGCTGTTCTGCACCATCACCAACAGACTGCTCTCATGCTCGCGGTCTCAAGCCTGCAGGTCACTGGGTTTGATGGAAGAGAGAGCATCCATGTTCTTCATGTGCGTAGGGAACAACAGGAGCACACGTCTCCATCCAACCTCCCGAGATGGACTTCATCGTTTCAGACAGTGGCTGTTTCTCTCAAAAGACCAGAATTCAAAATTCAAATTAATGGCTGAAAGCTAGGTTATTTTGCTTTCAAGCACAAACTGGTGTTCTAGCTGAGAGAGATTTAGCCTTGGGGTAGCAGGAAGGAAAATGTACCAGGATGAGAACAAAAATAATCTCCAAGGGAGGCTGGAGACAGGTGGGACCCATCAACTTTCAGCCTGTCACCCATATCGCTGCCGCTTGATGGAGTCTATCCAATATAAAAGTGAGCACCTCTTCCAAAAAAAGTCAGAAGGAGCTAGGCCAGGGAAACCCCTTATCAAAAACAAGAAAGTCCCGATGCTTAGGGAACTGGGGAACCTGTGCCCCAGCTCCTGCTGCCACAGTGACCCAGAGCTCGTTGTGCCCCCTCATCAGTGCTTTCTGCCAGGAAACTCAACTGGATGTCTTCACCCCTGCACACCCTTTCCCTGCTAGTGTGAAATATGAAGCAGGACCCCTTGAGAAATGCAGTTAAGCAGCCACACAGATCTCTGCTAAGGAGAAGCCACCATCGCAGCACTGTCACACACCATGCACACAGAGCATCAGCCCTTTCTGCCACTGCCTTCATCCCTCCTCTGCACCTCAGCACAAGCAACCTGCTACGAACGAGCCTCCCAAAAAAGTAAACCCCTTCCCTACAACACACAGCACGCCCAAGAGTCCTGCTTTGCTGACTCAGCCCCCTCCCCTCTACCCCTTCTCATGGCAGAGAGCTTTCTCTTCACAGACTGGTTTGGGTTGGAAGGGACCTTAAAGACCATCCAGTTCCAACCCCCCTGCCATGGGCAGGGACGCCCTCCGCTACCAACCCTGCGCTCTTCCACGAAGGTGACTTCCTCTCCCCAGCACGTCACCACTGATCTCTGCCGCTCCCACAGCAAAGCCCCAAACTTCCCAGACAGCTCCCGAAGACTCAGAGGTGACACACAGCAGCAGCACTCGCAGAAGCAAATGAAGCGCTCCGATATAGAATATGTCAATTTTAAAAACACACTGTGAATTTAAAAGGGGTACTGACAGGGTTCAATCATTGCAACCTAGTGATGTATTGCTGGAAGGAGCTCAATCCTGACAAATCCCTTTTCAATCAGAGAATCACTGAGGCTGGAAAAGGCCTATAAGATCATCCAGTCTAACCATTTTAAGGGGAATAAAAGCTGCAACCCCTTGGGCTCTGCTTAGT